AGAGTGGGGAGCAGAACAGGCAGATCGACGAAGTACACTGCTGAGGGGAGCAGCGGGCGGGTCAGGAGAGGTCTGCCGTGCCATGTGGTCACCTCCGGGGCAGGTGGGGATTGAACTCATGTGCAAGTGGCTTTAGCTTCTTAGTGCTGTGCTTTAACTCGCTGCGCCACCAGGGAGGGCCGAAGGTGGCTTTTATTGGCTTGAAAAAGTTGAAATTCTGCAGTGGTTTTGACATGGCAGTGTGAGTATCATCTTGTTTTAAAACTGTCATTCAGGTTTAACTTTTCTTTATCATGGCAAAATGTACTCAAAACCTGATTCATAATGATAATTATGACAAATGGAATAACAGTCCCACGTTTGGATGAGCCAGCCAAGCAGAGACCAGTTCCAGGAACATATCCCCCACCACCTCTGGTTGGTTTGTTTGACGTCATCTCCTTTGCCATCAGGCCCCTGGAGCACAGCCTTGAGGCTGGCAGCATGGTGCTGTCCGGGGACTGGCATCCTGCTGGCTAGCACAGAAGTGCAGCTCTCCATTTTAGTTTGACTAGAAGCCTCCTTCATGAGGTATCTGAATGTTCCTCCATCCAGTGGAAGTCTTTCTTCAAATTTGGGAAAATTTACATAGCTGTCTTCACCTGGTTTTCTTCTGAAATGGCTGCGTGGCTAAAAGTGTGCATAGGTACTTAGCAGAATCCAAAATGGTGGGTGCAGGACCTTAAATGGAAAGATTTGCTTCATTGATAGGGTCACAGATCAGGAATTAATCTTTCCTGTCGTTTACTTGGAATTTACTTTCACTCAATCTCAAAAGAACTTTGACCACAGGTTCCACTAAACTAAATGCTGACCTAGTCCTCTGGAGAAGCAGTGAGTTCCATGTTTTTTCTTGTAATCCTCATTTCTTGGCAGATATCTTGAAAAGGCTTGGATCTGATGAGACCGCTTGGAACATCTGATAATGCTCACTGGTACACGAGACTTCTGTAAAGATTGCCAGCAGGGCATTTGAAGCATGTAATGCAGAAATTATAGAGCTCCTCTAAGACATGACATTTAATGTCTTTAAGCACAAATCTCATGTCTTACTAAAACTCCATTTTTAGGGGTCCCATCTAAGCAGGAAGTATTGGGGTTTTGGTTTTGTGTTGTTTTGTTTTCTTTCTTTATCAGAAGAGTTTTCACCATGGGTAGCCTTTGCCGTTTCCAAAAGATGCTTTCAATTCAGGAATTTTCTAGTGATGTCAGAACACATAATTAATGAAAGCCAGAAGCTGACTGCACTGGGAAGCAACTGGCCATTCCCCTCTTGCAAACAAAAAGGAAATAGTATTGCCACTGATTCTCACTTCAGTGGCCCCTCTTAACAGCCCTGGAAAACATGTAGGCTTTTCTGGGGTGCATGTACTCTTGGACAGAGGGCTGCTTAGTTTCGTCCTCTGCTCTAAACTGCAAACAGCTTAACCAGGGAAGGTGGCCTCTTCAAGGCCTGCTGTGGTTAATGTGTTACCGTCTTCCCTTTTGGCAGTGAGTTAAGCCTCCTCATGAGCGAAACCAGGCTACTGGGAGGCAGCCGTGCAGTCAGGAAGTTACTCGGAAGTCAGATCCTCTTTGAAATGTGGTGTTTGGAACATTGGAAGCCCTCCTTGAATCTTGTTGACATTAGCACGCTTGGCCTCATGGTGTGGTAGGAATCTGTATAATGTTCGTGTTAATCATGGTTATTATAAAAATAAAAGCAAGAGATCTATGAGTTCATCAGACCTTTTTTTTCTGGACATTTTCTGCAAAATGAACATAATTGTATTGGCAGGATATGTGGTCTTAACTCATGTTCTGGGAAACTCCTGGTTATTACCACATGACAAGGAGGGCTCCTGTAGAACTGTTACAGTGGCAATAAGGATGATTTGGTATTACTTGACCACAAGCACTAGTATTTTATACTATCTCACATTTATTTGGAGTGAATAAAGTAAGGGAAAAGAAAGAAAAAATATTTACTAATAGAGTACATCTGTTATTTTAAAATTTGCTTAAAGAATGAGAACATTCCCCTAGATGACATGGCATGATAGTATTTGTAAATATTAGAATTGTTAGCTAGTGTAAGAGGAGTGATCTTGTTTTACAAGACCAGAGGGTATACGTAAATGCAAAGAACCTTCAGGGCCCCTACCTAGGGCATGAGCTGAGCTTGACCCCTAAGCCATGAACTTCTGCCTGATGTCAAAGGGCTTGTTAGTATTGCTTTGCAATTTACGATCCTTTCCTGTTTATTAAATCTTACTGTGTCTTCTTTATATAATATCAGCTTATGTTGCTTTAGATTTTTTTTTTTTGTAAGTATAGAGGAATACTTGACATTCTTCACTTACTTGTACGGGATTCTTATTAAGAACTGTTTGCATTTGTTTACATCAGTTGCAAAACCTAAAGGTTTTATCTGATGTCTAAAATGTCCTAGTTGTTCCAGAATTGGGTTGTGGTTAATTGACCCTAATAACAGCCAGTTCCCTACTGCTAAAAATATTGAGGAGAGACTGGCAGTGCAAGAGTGGAACCATGAAGCTGTCACTGTGGTAGCTATGTAAACCCTGGGCTAGACCCGCAAGTATACACGGCATAAAACTGAAATCCATCAAAGATGTGTTAGAAATAGCACTGAGGATGCTTTTCTATTCAGAGTGGTTTTTTGTTTTTGTAGACTGTAACTCTCACTTCCAACAAATTACCGTTCTGGCTGAATAGAAGTTAAATTTTTTTTTCCATTTTCAGCGTATGGCAAAGTATTTCTAGTCCGCAAAGTCAGCGGTCACGACACTGGAAAGCTGTACGCCATGAAGGTCTTGAAGAAGGCGACAATCGTTCAGAAGGCCAAAACCACAGAGCACACGAGGACCGAGCGGCAGGTCCTGGAGCACATCAGGCAGTCGCCATTTCTGGTGACGCTACACTACGCCTTCCAGACTGAAACCAAACTTCACCTCATCTTAGGTGAGTGTCCGGCGTGAACAGACGTCGTGTGGAAACCGTGTCCTCGGGTGCCACGTTGCGGGGCACACAAAGGGCCACCTGCTTCGCACTTTGCTGAAATGAAGTGCCTTGATTTTCGCCATTCTCTTTTTGGGGGTGTTTCCTCGAATATTGCGAATCGCCTGCATGTGGGACCTCCCCACTGAAGGGAGGGCAGGCTCCTGTACTAGCCTGAGCCCTTGACTGCAGGAGGCTGTCCCTGGGGCCAGGGCCCCCTGCAGTGTGCTGGTGAGACAGGCCCGGCTCCTGCCTTGGGAGTTCTCGGGAGCACACAGGCTTGGGCTGACCCAGGGTATTTGTGGAAATCAGTCTTTGGGAAAATAAAAAGAAAGGCATCTTTCTTAGAGCTGCTTGATTTTTCCGATGAAAACCTTTGGCGCCTCCCACTTCACTCAGAGGGAGTTCTAAATGAGCCTTCCTCTCCCCCCCAGCAGTCAGACTATCATAGTGGAACTTTGGAAGTATCTTCCAGGCCCACTGCCAGCTTGACTTGCAGAAAAGTCACCGTTTTCCAGTCCCCCCAGAATAAATGGGCAAGCGCCCCGCATTGCAGCCTGCCGGTGCCGAACATTTCCTCTGTTGCAGTTTTAGCCCCACTTGTCACCATTTGTATTTCTGTTACATTTTATGGACCTTTTCTAAGGACTAGCTGAGGAGGACTCTGGGGAGAGCTGCTTCTGGAGAGCTCCGCTAGGTGCCCCCTAGGTACCACCGACCCTCTCAGCACTGCTGCCAAACCCCCTGGTGGCCGCTGCAGGGTTCTGGGAGCTGCAGCTCTGGAAGCCGCACGTCCTGCACAAACTGGAGAAACAAGGTTGGAGCGCAGGTCTGACCCGCTCTAAAGTGTTTGTTCAGTTTGCAAACTGGAGATGCCTGTATTCTCAAATTATTGGTAGTACAAACAGGTTTTTTAGACATTTTGGCAGTTTTATTGCCTGTTCACATTTTGGAAGTTATGCTTTTGTTAATGATGTCTAAAGTGGCATTTACTGTTTGAACCATCAAGTTACACGTCAGTTACATTTTGCCATCCTAAGTCTTTTTAGGCACAGTCTCTCTTGTCCTGATAGAGCCTCATTCGTGATGTGGTGTCTGTCACTCCAGCTAGTCAGTGTCACTTGGCCCTTCCTTCTGTCTCCTGTGCATATCCACTCGGCTCCATGTTCCTTACTGATTTTTTAAAGGTGTGTTCCTTCTAGACTTTCCCCATTTGATTAGAATACTGCAGGGGTATGGCAGCAAGCCCTTCCCTCCAACAAGATGCCAGACTTTCAAGTGGAAAACAAGTGGAAATGAGCAGCTCTGGTTCCGTCTGAGCCTAATGGCTTCTAGTCTGTGGCTTGCTCTTGCCCCTCATCCCACCAGAAAGTTCCCAGAACATCCTGGGGAGCTCCGGGGGCACAGAAGCAGCTTGTGGTGTGGTCATCCCATCCAGCTTCTTGAACAGGTAACCAGCTCACAAAATTTAGGTCACGAGACAGAAGAGTGAGAAACCAAACACAGTCTGTCCACCACCACACCACAGCGTTTCTTTCTCCACCTCCCTTTTCTGTTCTCTTAACATAGACTGAGCTCAGTCTTTTTTTTTTCATTGTTTACTGTAAACAGTGTAGTTTTTGTAAGTAATGTTTTTAAATTAAAATTAGATGAGTGCACTTTCTTATACTTGACTTAAAAAATAATACTTGATAATGTCGCATCTTAGTTGTTGGTTTCCCTTTATTTTTGCTCTTTGTCATGGGCTTGCCAATAAAGAAATGCAAAACAGAACAAGAACATCCATGTCTTGTGCCAGACCACATGCTGGGTGCACCATACGTGACTCAGTGCATGTAGAAGGCAGGCACCGTCACCCCCACCTAGATAGATCTGATACATTTCTTTCCGTGCATATTGAAAGTTGAGTGACCAAGGCTTCTCAGAAAGATATCTAGAGCAGGGCTTTGTTATAAGCTGCTTTTATCAGCCAGTGGCTTGTTTGCTCTGTTCAGGTGCTCACTAGGTCACTTTTCCAAATAATCTTTGCCTAGTCTGCTGGGCCTACCATACAGTACCTCACAATGCTGCAGGCCTGGACCAGTGTGGAGGGCTGGTGTCTGCAGAAAGCCAGTGGGAAGAATCTGCCCTGGGCCTCTCTTCCTGGCCTGCAAGGGCCACCTCCAGCTCCCTCCGGGCATTCACAGCCTAGCTGTTGCTTTTTGTATTCAGATTTCCTGTTGGTGGGAAGATACTAGTCAGGTGGGTCTTAGTTATCCTTTGAAGGCCTTGACATCGATTGCAGACATGTTCTGATGTACTGGGGTCTTAAAATACAGCAAATGAGGGGAGGGAAGCAATTCCACCTAGAGCTGTCTAGCTCTGCAGCACTCCAGCTGACCATTTTGATGAATAAGTATACACTATAAACCTTTTTTTAAAACATGTTATGTTTTGATAACTTATTACCGCATAAATGTCTATATGCATATAGAGGATATGTAGGGAAGCAAAAATAAGAGTTGACATCACTACATGTCGCTGTCTGTTGTGATTTGTTATAACAGCCTTCTAGATCTTTTTTTTGTCTGTTTGCATGTATGTGTTTTATCAAAATGATGTCCTGTATGTATGGTTTGTAATTAGCTTTTTTTGTTTCAGTTTGATGTCTGCCTATCCTGGTTAGTGAATTTTCACTTTATGTATACACAGTTATGCAGGTTATTTATTATGACACTGTGAAATTTAGCTGCTAAAGAATGAGCTGCGCCCTCATGGTTCTGCGGGCCAGGTGGGCATTCTCCAGGTTGTGCCTGGGCTTACTCTGTGGTCAGCTGGAGAGCAGGCCTCTGGCTAGTAGGTCAGCTTCTCCCAGCGTGGCTGTGTCATGACGGGAGAGGGCAGAGACGCCAGGGGGGCCTGGAACCAGGCGTTGGGGTTCTCACAGCCCCCTTCTCAAACACCAGCCCAGCTTCAGCGGGAGGGGAAACAGACTTCACTTTCTGACGAGGGGACTGCCAAGAACTTGTAACCGTCTACCGCACAGGTTCCTATTCAGATTTCACTGTCAGTTAATATCCTTTATAGCTGATCTGTCCAGACCACGTTCCAGCCTAGGGACACTCACTTGGCTGTTTCTGAAGTTCCTTCATCAGGAACGTTCTTTTTTATATCCTTTTATTGGTCTGCAAAAATGTAGTGTCTTTTCTCTTATTCCTACTTCTATATATTGAGGTCCAGTAGTTGGGAGTTTTGGTCTAAAGTCTTGATATATTGACATTAAGCAAGTCAGCTAGACTACATCATAGGTATTGTTGCATATTTCATTTTATTTCAGTTAGCAGGAACCTCTGATCTGGTTGTAGTAGTAGTAGCTTACAGAGTTGATGGCCTCTTTCCTTTAATAATAGAGTTGTTTTTCCTGAGAAATGAAAATAATCCGTGTGTTGTTTTGACACTTCATTTTTAACATTTAACACTTGATAATTCCTTGCATAAATCAGCTATTTCATTGAGTTATTAAAGGTGGTTTTTCTAATCTGTCCTTTCTTCTATATTTGTTAGTTGATATTACTGTAAAGAGTGACTTTTCCCCAAAGATTTTATTTATTTTTGTGTATAAGAACTGGGCTGTAAGCCAGAGGTACGGGGGGGGAGGGGAGGTTTGAGAGGATTCACCAGAGACAGAGTGGGGAACAGGTGGATCCACTGAAACACACTGCTGAGGGGAGCAGCAGGGAAACAGGAAAGGTCTGCTGTGCCCTATGGGTCAGCTCCCTGGCTGGGGATCGAATTTAGGCTGTCACAGTGATAGCTGAGACTTAACCTCAAGGCCAACAAGAGACCCAAGAGTGACTTTTTTTCATTAATCATAGTTCATTGGTTACCCTGAAATGTAGATTCTGTGGAAAAATGAGTCACTGAATACTTGAAGTGAGAAGTTAAAGAATTAACTGGCATGGTGATGCTATTTCCAGGTCACTGCCACCAGCCACCATCCATCTTAATCCCGGGCAGCCCACTCTGTGCCCTGTTCTTCCCCCACTGAACAGTGAATATGTTCGAGAGATCACTTGGTATCAGTTCATTAAGGTTTTCCTTAATCTGTTTTTATTCCTGCATAATATTCCTTTCCTTAGAGCATGATATTGGTTATGACAGGATCTTTAGGTCACATCCAATCTTGCTGCCATGACCACTTCAAGGAGCTTTACAGTATGTCGCCTGCCTGCTATTGCTATAGGCGCAACCCTGGAAGAGAGCGAGCTGAGCTGGACTGTACTTTGCCAGCTGAAATGCTGCAGTGCATTTCCATGGGAGTTGCCTCTCGTCCCCCCAGCGATGGGTTAGTGTCTGATGGATTAGTGTCTGTGTCTAAGTAGGGTACACTGTCAAACTTCTGGATATTTGCCTGTCTTGTGGCTGGGGAATGGTGTCTCAATGTAGGGGGTCATTTACTTTTTTCTTCTGTGTGAGGCAGAACATCTTTTTATATGTTGAAAGGATTTTTTGTTTTATACCTTTGACCTCAGTTTTCTAGGAGCTTAGATTATCCATTTATGATATACATTGGAGATACTAATGTTTTTCACTTGTCTTTTTACTCTATAATGTTCTTACTATGCACACTTTAAAACATTTATGTGTAGTATAATTTATTTGAGAACAATTTTTATGGCTTATGGGTTTTTAGTCATAGTTAGAGAGATCTCAGCTTTGAAATTATCAAGGAATTCCCTGATGTTTTCTTCCAGTACTTTTATAGTTTTATTTTGGTTATAGAGGACTTTAGGGCCATAAAGAGTTTTTGTGAGGTGTAACATGAAATAAATAGTATCCAATTTAATCTTTTCAAATGGTTATATGGCTTCCTCATACCATCTAGTAAATACCATGTAATAAAAATTCAAGTTGACACTGACTTGAGGTGCTTTCTTTCTCATGTATTAAATTCTTGTTTATATTCAGGTCTGTTTCTTGATGCT